CAGACAAGGATGGGGTTTGCTCGGGACGCTACTTCACGGAAAGTGGCCTAGTTGGGCTTCTGGAACAGGCTGCTGAGCTATTCAGCAATGTGAGTTATCCGTGGAGCAAAGCGCCAACGGCATCCAAATTAGTAGCCCATCTTTTTTAATGCTACTTCATATTTTTCTGTAGTATGATACCACTAATTCTTTATTATATAATATATATATATATGTAATATTTAATATGTATACTAATAACAATCATTACAAAATAATTTATTTAATTTATTTATCTATTTAAAACATTCAAATGAACATTATGTAGCTATACAGTATGTATATAAAATAGAAAATGTATTACTGTTCATTGCTTCTTACCATTGTTCACGTACAGGGCGGGTTGTATGAGGCAGTTAATGAGGTGTACAAGGTAATCGTGCCTATACTGGAGGCCCACAGAGATTTCCGGAAGCTCGCTTCCACACATGACAAGCTCCAAAGGGCTTTTGAGAACATCATTCAAAAGGTAAAGCATACAAATGACATGTCCTCCTACATGACTCTGCCAGACAGGAAGAAGCCTTCTAGTGCGATCATGATCTATATGCATGTGGGCAGCTGGACAGAAATAGGGAACTTAATGTGCTGTGACATGCTTTACTTCATATAAAATGATTTTAAACAGCATTTTGCTATTTTTTTAAATAGCTATTATACATTAAGTTTTATGAACACTAATATGAGCGCTTTATGAGCGCTAATTAAGGAGCGTTAATTGAGACACTATGTAATTTTAACAAGTTGTTCATCACACCACAAGAAAATAATGTAGTGTACTGAAAAAAAATATGGTGAAGAAAACGGCTAGTAACTTTCACAAATAATTACAAAGCATCAGCAAGTAACACATTGAGTTAGGATATTACATTTTGAAGTAGAAAGACTGAAATAGTTTTTTCTTGTGAAACATACTCTAGTGAACTTTATTTACAACTTCAAAAAATATTTTTTTACTCTGTGAAGTCAGTACATTAAAAATAGTTTAAAAACAAACATAAAATGGTGACTTTCATATTAATTTGAACCTGAAGTCATGCGTCATTATGTAGCAAGCACTATCTTTTAACTACATGTTTATTTTTACTTTTTCAGGGTCACAAGAGGATGTTTGGAACCTACTTCCGCGTGGGATTTTATGGCTGTAAATTTGGAGACCTTGATGAGCAAGAATTTATCTACAAAGAGCCAGGAATTACCCATTTACCGGAGATATCCCACCGGCTCGAGGTGAAATTTCTCTGGAACCCTGTGAAGTTTTGCATTTGTGATGAAGATGAATGTGAAGTTTAAAGGTTTTTCTTAAGGTTTCAGTTGCTTTTAGGCAGCGCTATAATGGTCTGAAATTTGCTTTGATATTATACGTGACTTATTTGTCTCTTTGTCTTCTAATTTTCCAGAACTTTTACAGTCAGTGTTTTGGAGATGGAGTTTTGGAAATGATTAAAGATTCCACACCAGTAGACAGAAAGAAGCTCAATCCCAGCAAGGTACTTCTCATCAAGTGTCGTGCCAATGTAAACACAATTACAATCAAAAGCTTTCTTCAGTTTGACCTGTGTGACACCCTCATTAGCTTGAAAGGCCGTCGACTGCCTCTACAGTCAAATCTCAAATGCCTCATTCAGCTAAAGTTACCCTCAGCGATTGATGATTGCTTTAAGTGACAGTGTCCTAAACGTAGCATGCTGATTTTCATATTTTCCATCAGGCGTACATACAGATTACCTTTGTGGAGCCTTACTTTGATGACTATGAGATGAAAGACCGCCTCACCAACTTTGAGAAGAACTTCAACCTTCGCCGCTTCATGTACACTACGCCGTTCACAAAGAGTGGGCGGCCCCGAGGGGAACTCAACGAGCAATACAAGCGGAAAACCATCCTAACCACCATGCATGCCTTCCCCTACATCAAGACCCGGATCAACGTCATTCAGAAGGAGGAGGTAATGACAATCCAGAGAACCCCCCCCACCCCCATGTCTGCTTCATCTGCAGTGGTAGTTTGATAAAAGCGTCTAACTGACTACTTACTCAATCACCTGCTTTTAGTTTGACCTCACACCCATCGAGGTGGCCATTGAGGACATGCAGAAGAAGACTAGAGAGCTGGCTGAAGCCACGCACAGAGAGAAGCCAGATGCTGTGATGCTTCAGATGGTTCTGCAGGGATCTGTCACAGCCACCGTCAATCAGGTCTGAAGCTTAATGCACTCTCATACCCTTCACTAGCAACTATTCTGAGCTGTGAAACTTGAAACGCAGCTTACAAAAATAGAATTTCATGTCTATTTAAAATTTTTAAGAGCCTTCTTAAATGAACCCTTAGGCACAGGTAAAATATTGAATAATGATATATTAATATATCTAACATAATTTAATATTTTGTACATGATTTTATTGTTTATTTTGCACAATAAAAAGTAATATACATTTATTTTTTATTTAAAAAAATAATTAATAAAATAGCAAATTTATCAAAAGTGATCAACGACGTGTAATGATTTCTATTTCAAATAAATACTGTTCTTTTGAACTTTATATTTATAAAATTATCACAGTTTTCACAAAGTGCTGTCAATCTATTAACGATTATTTTTTGTAATTATTTTGGATGCGATTAATCGTTTGAAAACACTAAATATATTTAGTGCTGTCAAACGATTGATCAATGCAGAAGAAGACTAGAGAGCTGGCTGAAGCCACGCACAGAGAGAAGCCAGATGCTGTGATGCTTCAGATGGTTCTGCAGGGATCTGTCACAGCCACCGTCAATCAGGTCTGAAGCTTAATGCACTCTCATACCCTTCACTAGCAACTATTCTGAGCTGTGAAACTTGAAACGCAGCTTACAAAAATAGAATTTCATGTCTATTTAAAATTTTTAAGAGCCTTCTTAAATGAACCCTTAGGCACAGGTAAAATATTGAATAATGATATATTAATATATCTAACATAATTTAATATTTTGTACATGATTTTATTGTTTATTTTGCACAATAAAAAGTAATATACATTTATTTTTTATTTAAAAAAATAATTAATAAAATAGCAAATTTATCAAAAGTGATCAACGACGTGTAATGATTTCTATTTCAAATAAATACTGTTCTTTTGAACTTTATATTTATAAAATTATCACAGTTTTCACAAAAATATTAAGCGGCAAAACTGTTTTCAACATTGATAATGATAAGACATTTACTGAGCGGCAAATCAACATATTAAGATGATTTCTAAAGGTTCATGTGACACTGAAGACTAGAATAATAGCTGCTGAAATTTTTTTTATTCTTAAACATTTAAACCTTAAACTTAATGGTTGTGTATAATTTAGCTTAATATTTTTGTGTGAACTGTGATAATTGTTTTTTTTTTCTCAGGAGAAATATATATATA